GTACAGTAGTGGGGGAGAGAGGAGGAGGGAGCAAAAGGGAGAGAGCAATGAAGAAAGTATGAAAGGTGCATTCAAGCTTTGTGTTCTGTCTTTCTGATGAAATTGTCCAGGTACTGCTGTTCCCTTTTTTATCCAATTGTTGATGATTTTGAAAAATCCCATAGAACTGAAAGGGAGTCACTGGAACTGAACTGAAAAGTAACATATTGCAGAAACTCGACATAGATGGATTAGAAAAAGAGAATAGAGGCTACACAATCTTACTAATGTGTCAGATTGATCCTAAACAATCTGCCTGCTGTCATTATGCTCCTGCACAATATCACCAAGACAAATTACAATTACTGAACTTGACATGGAAGTGATACCAACTCAGATAGGGAAATAAAGGCCAATGTTAAAGTGACAACAAAGGGGCAATAATGGATAACACAGACAATGGCAAATCTATTAGACAGGAGGGTGTTCTAATCTCAAGAAAGCGGTTATGAAAAGCTAGAATCCTTTAATTGGTTTTTGACTTCTCTTGTGGTGTGAAATGAATACAAATTAATAATTTTATTTTGGTTTTTTTAGTCTCAGTCATAGAAAAAAATAATAATGACCTTGCTTCAAATAAAAGAATATACATGCAATAACAAAAGGGTTAAGAAGAAGAAGACGAAGAAAAGAGAATGTGACCCTACTTTCTAGTTTAGTTTCCCTAGTTGGAAACCCTGGTGGTCTGAGCTTCAGCCTCACCTGCTGATTCCCGCAAAAACTAATTTGTCGGGGCGCTGTGAGGTGAGGGCTAAATAAAAGGAAAACACTGTTATCATGATTAATCAGCCGCTCTGTCAGCAGGCCTAGGTGAATAGAAAGTGGCACAAATGACTACATGGAATTCCTGGTGTGTCAGACAGAATAAAGCTGCAATGTCCATCCTTCACTCACTCTCAATTTCACCCACTTATTCAAAGCAAAGCTTGTTCCAGTGGGCTTCATAATACCTCATCATTCCCTGCAGTGTAGGCTGCAATCAAATGCTTTTTAAGTCTGTGGTGGGTGATGTATTTTCGGATTGTAAATCATAAGATATTACCCAGACACAGAATTGCCTGCAATAAATAAGATGCTGGCTTTTCTTTTTCCCCACCATGAAAATGGATGTGATGAATTGAGTGAATGACAGTGAGACTGAAAAATGACATGAAAACAGTTAAAAGATACAAACACTGTCCCATTCTCCACACACTATCCGTCTTCCTTACACCTTTTGAAAAATATAATTATATGTACACTAACATGTATCCAACCACCACTTTTAAGTAGTACAAATAACCAAACTAAACAGATACATACACATTAAATGTTTTATGTACTTCATTGTATTACATCATCATGATGCATACTTAACTTTGAATCTCAACATTTAAGCCAACATGGAGGTGACTTCCTTAAAGTGCTCAGGAAAAAATGACAACTTGAACATCTACAATTCCTGAGAGCTCCATCTGTTTATGAATACCATGTGATATGATTGAAAGGTCCAGAACAGCAGCTAAATTGACCTTGTGGTGAGATTGTTTTGTAAACTCCTGTTTCCGAGATCTAGAATAAACTTTGAATCCCAAAAAGTTTGATGCCAGTGTGTTGCTCTTGCAAAATTCTACTTTTCCATGACTTTCCATTTATAATTTGCAGCACTGCAAAAAACATTTACTTGTGCCTGATTTGTTTAAAATTTATTTTCTGAAGAGATCAGTATTTTGGTTGCCAATGCAAATGGATTGCAAAGCAAATATGAGTAGAGAGAAGGGGCTGACTGGTAATTACAGTTCTAGTTTATTCTTGTGACCCAGTAAAACTTAGCCTACTGATGAAGAATCAATCAGTTTCCCTGACATTGGTGGGATTGTTAAACTCAGGGATATTCTTGGAATTTAGCATGCTGTGAAAATAGCACTCAAATATGTTTAAAGGAGTCGTTTAAGTGTAATGTATTTTCATCATCAGCTTAGCCCAAGTTTGTTTACAGCATCTACTTACTAACAACTTACCTCGAATTATGTGATCTGCCCAGATGTGTGACACATTTGGTGCTCCAAGCAGGTTAATGCAATCTGTTGTCACCACACTTCATCCTTTTAGGAGATAGAGAAGTCTGGAAGGAAGGCTGCTTCTCCCTTCATCTTGCCTCAGGGGGTCATTTGGTCTGATGCCTTTCACTCCGTACAGTATAAACTTCCTCACCACAAGCTGCACACAAACAGAGTAAATAAACAACTGTGGGACAAACCAGGGTTTGGAGCTTGTTAGGGTGCACAATTTCAACATGAGAGTTTGTTTGTTCAAATTTGCTCGCACAGTGACCTAACTCCTTTATACTGAGCACATGTGCGGATGAGGGCACAGGAAGGCGAACATTACAGAGGGAAAAAAAAGTGGAAAAATCCATATTTTTCCAATATGCAGTCAGGGCTGTTCATCAGGCAAAGTTTGACACATGTCTTTGAACAGAGTTAGAAACAACAACTTGGTGGAAAAAGTAAAAAGGATGGAGTGGGGTGGTTTGGCTAAACAAATGTCATTTTTGGACTCTACTGCAGGGAGGATGAGAAAAGGAAAGATGATGAAAAGAATGAAAAGATGCATTCCTAAGTATCTAACTCACTGCCTCACCGTTTCCTGGGCTTGATTAGAGGGATGCAGTGACTTGTGGGTACATTAAGATTAAGATCTCAGCTGTCCAGAAGAAATTACAAAAAGGAAGCAATATGGGTGTCTTTATCTAATGTGACGTTGGTTTTTATAAAAGGAGGTCTCATTACAGCATATGCTTATACTGTGCAGCCATGCAGCCACAGTAGTATTTTTGATGGTTACAGAGGCCGTTTTGTAATCAAAAGGTTACAGATTTGACCCACACACAGACCAGTTTAAATTGCTACCATGAATTAAATAATGGGCTGCTTTTAGTGGTTCAATCATAAACTGTATATAAAGACAGACGCACTGCAACTTGTAACAGCAGGAAAAGCACAGGTGTTACTAATTACTTTAACAAAGGCTCAGTTCTAGTCAAATAAGCCATGAAAATGAGTTAGCATTCAAAATACCATAACACTGAAACCAAGCAATGCAATGCAATGCAGCCAACATTAATTTTACACCTGAGCTTTTCCCACTGGTATTGTCGAAATTTAATCTGTGAAAAACGCCTGTTGAGGAAAGTTGGGACGTCCTAGGAGTGTTTGGAAACTCTGCGGACAGCCCCGCCGTCGCCATTTTGGCCGAGGCAGACGCTGCAAAACTCCAGGCTAATTCACAAATGAGCAAAAAGGTGGTGTGTGTGTGCAGCCAAGACTTCAGTGCATGCTGGTTATAAACTGTGGGAAGCAAGAGCTCGCGTTAGCATTGCTAGCACAGCTGGGCGGCTTGCTCGAAGGCTAACCCAAGGCTAAATAGCTAGCTAACCGCCTAAGCTAACACGCCAGATATGAAGAGCGCACACCTGTTAGCATATATTATATATATATATATATATATAAAACACTAAACTTTCACTCACCTCAAAAAACAGGAACACAAACTTCCTCACGTCCTGTTAGTCAGTTAAACGCACAGAAGTTCATATTATTTATCCGATATGTGCATGAAAACTCCTCCAAAGGACACCGACACCACTAACACGGCCGGGAGGTCACGTTCACTGACTCGATCACTGAGGTGGCGCCGAATGGATAGCTAGCAGCTAGACACCGAGCGGCTAGCCAAGCGTGACCACGCCCACATGTCACTCAAGGCGGTCGCGCTCTCAATTTTGCATAACTTCAAGCCTTAATAATATTTAAACGGGTGATTTATAAAAAACAACAATAATAATAGTAGTAATAATAAATCAAACACCCCCCCCCGTACAGTTGTCATGAAGGAATTAATTAGCTAAAGTGGCCAAAACCGTTTTTGCACCAGGATGTAAAAATGTTTATTTCTGCTGTAAAGTTGTGCATTTTAATATGTGTATAGATGAAGATTGACTCGCTGTTGGAGCCAGTCTCATGCGACCATTCGAAGAACTGCAGTACTGGTACATCTGTGTTGGCTCCATTAATCAGCCCTCGATATTGCCGCGTGAGCAGAATACGCAATTTTATCTAGTTCAAGAAGGCAACATCTCAACCTAATTTTTCTTTTTTGGAAACTTCCTCTATAAAGTAAAGCCTTGTTACTATGGACACAAAAGCTTTGCTATATTTACTGCTATTCTGACATGTAAAGTCAACTATATGAAGACATGATTATGTAAAAAGTGTGTCAAAGAACACTCACCACTCTAATTAATACATGCAGACTGGTTACTGAGAAACCGACCACTGGTAATCAGTAGATACAAGGGAAGATTAATAATATGTGAACAACCCAGCCTTATCACATAACCAGGTTAGTATAGTCTGAAATCATATGCACCAAGCTGCAACAAATTTAGTGCATCAGTCAGTGGCCAATTTACCCAGTAGCTTCATAGCAGCAAATGTTGCCATTTCATAGGATAAAAACACAATTAAACCTACTTGTATTAACCCAACCCTCTTATGTTATACAAAAATGTCTTTTTCAAATGTTTGGACTCCAACCTGAGTGTTAGAGGGGTGCTCATGTAGGCAAATCAGGCCACTCCAGAGTCATAACTATTTAAAACCTGCCCCTAAGACAGGATATGGCAACCATGCTGTCGATGACAGACAAAAAAGGCCATTTGAGCAATTTTCACAGCAGCAACTGCAACTGGTAACAGCAGGAAAAGCACAGTTGATACTAATTACTTTGACAATGGCTCAGTTCTTTCCAAGTAAGCCATGAAAATTAGTCAGCATTCACAATACCATAACCCTGACACCAAAGCAATGATATGCAATTCAGCCATCAATAATTTTACACCTGAGCTTTTCCAACTGTGACATGTCAACATTTCCTCTATGAAAAAGCCCTGTTGAGGAAAGTCAGAAGCATACACTGGATTGTTTTACCTAAGAATTTTATTACCAATGTTTCCTGCACAATAACAGGTAACAATGGAAAACATGAACAAAAGAACAGGAATATAAACTAAAAATGACTCAAACATCAGGTTTGTTCAGCATTATTCATTAAGTCAATTAAAGTCAATAAAAGAAAATGCATCACCATACATTTATCAGTGCAATGTGTAAAAACATGCACATTGCAAAAATTACTTCAAAACACACAGGCATTAACATTTATCCTTAATACAAAAAAAACATTTTTTACGTATCCATTAAATTCTAGAGCAGTTGCCAGCATCATTGTCCAGAAATATGTTCAGAAAAACCTGGATGGTGTGTTGTAGATGGCATTTAGTTAGTCTTGTGTTTCTACTACATCTAGCAACATTTGCTGAATCCATGATCCTGACTGGTGAGCAACCCAGATGAACACCAAAGTATATTTTGTTGTCTCAAGTTGTCTTATATGATGCCTTATCAAACAGTCTTAGAAAATTTCTTGTGAGCAAAGTTGTTAACTCCAGTGTTTGCTGCCCAAGTAAGTGGTGCAAACTGCAAGGACTGTACAGATCCTCCTTAATTTCAGCTCTGCTTTGGACGCTTTGACTGCGGGGTGTCAGCTGGTGTGTTGGCTGCTTTCTTGGATGCTGTTCTTTTTCTCGATTCTTTTTCCTCTGGATCATAGAGAGCATTCCTGAGAAAGCGTGCAGCGGCGCCTTTATCTAGACGGGCAGCTTTCTTCTTGTCAGTGATCTCCTTCACTCTGTTCATGTAAGTCCTTATTCGCTCCTGAAGAATAGAACAGGTACAGACAAATTAGACAATGCACGTAAATAGTGAGGAAAAAGTGATTATTTCAAAGACAGTTCAGAGAAAAGATACAGTACATACCAATTCTTGCTTGATTCCATGTTCTCTGGGATTTACTCCTTGTGTAACCAAGTACACTGTAAATGAGACCAAAAGTAAGACAGCATGTACTGTATGTTGATTCAAAATCAATACATATTCAATACAGGTTTCTCTGGGATACATTATTTTCAAAGACAAGCTTTTGTCTTTATATCTCACAGTGTCATAAGCAAAGAAAATATTCAGTCTAAGCCCAGGGTCTCAAAGGCTGTGTCTGGCATCATTATACCACTGTCATTTCCTCTTTACATCTGAAATTACATTGTATTGCTGGCACTTAATCCCTGCCACACTGTTCTACTATTGTCTGTTTTCATATATAGTACAGTAGCTTTATGTTTTAGCATTTTTGATTTTTTGGTAGATACAAAACAGACAGGAATAATGTCACATGTATATGGTATGTGCCATAACTCATTGAGCAACCATAAATCACATAAAGTAGTGATAATTTAAATCAGCCACAGTGAGTAAGAAAAAAAATCATGTGAATAATTATGTGATTACAAGGAATCCATAAAACTTACTCCAGAATAATGAATTGAGGGTGTAGGCAGACATCAGGTCCAGCTTGGCTTGATCCAAAGGATCCAGCTGTCAATAAACCAGATTTAGTTTAATTCAAACCAGCTGTATAAAAAGGATTCAAAATCCTGCAATCACAAAAATGTCATTACCAGTTTGACAAGCCAAAAGTAAAAATTGTGCTCATGTGCACTATGTTGACCTACATTACATCACAGACTGCTTGCTACACACCAGCATCATATTTTCTGGTTTACTGCAGGTTTTGCATGAAAAATGTTACTCTGCTAATGAACTGGTAAATAGCAAACTCATGATAGAGGAGTCTAGATGTGTAATTAGCCCTTTGATAGACTGGTAACCTGTTCAGGGGTGTACCCTGCCTTTTGCCCAGTGTGAGATGGGAGAGGCTCCAAGCCCCCTGCAAGCCTCGACAGATTGAATAATGGATGGATGGACACAGTAGTTCTCTGTGATATTTGGCGGAGCAGGAGCATCATGTCTCAAAATTCGAATTAAATTTTCTCTGTTTCACCACCGATACAAGTCAAAACAAAAAAATATGTTTGCATGATATGATGTTAATCTATAAATTGGTCTGTGATGTAGACTCATCACAAGTGACATTTTGACTTGTCATGGAAAATGTGTAACTAGTAGCATTAATTCTGTCTTTGTTTGCCTACCTTTTGCAGCAGGTCATTTCTAGGCATCGACATCAATTTCTCTAACATGGTTTTGACAGAAGAAACGGAGGAGTCGAAGCCTGTGAGCTGTTCGTCTATCTCATGAGGGTAGTCCTCCGTCCTCATGTCCGCTGCCATTTCTCTGGAAGACAATTAATGTCATACGATGTTATGTAGCTCTGTTGTAACATGACTTTCATTAGATTTTACAATAATAGCAAAAAGGCTCACTTTCAAATCTGTACTGCTAGCTAAGTAGCTAATCATACAGCTTGCACATGTTGCTAACAGATAAAAAGCCGAGCGTTTATATGTGTAGAAATTTACCGTATAAACTATTAATGAAGCAACATTTATTACTGGTTTAACGGCAATACAGATTCGCTCGAACCTGAATCTTACGGTATTTAACGTTGAACATTTCTGTTTTACCTTCTAACAGGCAGCACGCTTTAGAAGACAGGAAATTACGTCAAAAAATACCAACGTCGCTGAAGTTAGTTTCTGATTTGTATCTTCCTATTCCTCTATTTGCCAGTTAAGCAAAAGTTAAGAGAAATTGAAATTATATTACTGAGTGACATATTCTCCTTTTTTGATCCACTTCTTGACGTGAAAAGCGCTGTAAAGCCTTAATGCTGTGTTCTAGTGTTATAACTTTTTCATGTAACGTTCCCCCTAAATACCCAATTGGAAGCTAACTTCAGCGTCCTTGTCCTCGTCTTCTGCACTCTACTGCCGTCTGCCGTTTGGAAGAACGAAAGAGCTCGTTAACTGCTTTTAACAGGTAATCTTTTGTTTCGGACCCCCGGTAAGCTAACCATGGATAAATCCAAATAATAAGACAAGTCTGCAGCCATATGTTTTATTTATTACAAAGTGGGTTACTTTTTTTTCCCGATCCTTCACAAATAAGAGAAGGACTCAAATAGGTCTGCATATTTCTGTGTTTTATCTATAAGTAGGCATACACGTGCCAGTGTTTTTTTTATCTTATTCATAAAAGTTTGGTGTTTTCCTTTGTTATAACGGGTAAAAACAGCAATAAAATTTCAACAGTTTTTTTTAGTTCTATAATTTCATAAATGCAATTAACTATAGTTAATTTTTATATATAGTATAACTATATGGCTCTTTTAATAGTAAAGGTTGCAGACCCCTGGAGTTTTCACAAGAGTATCTAACAAAACTATTTTCGGCACATTGATCAACAACCAAAGGTGTCTACCAGGTCCTCCCCTCTGTATTGACTTCTAAATACTTTTTGAAAGATATCTGAGTTCTGTCAAAATGTATAGCAAAAACTAAGCTTGGGTTTGTGAGTTGTGTTGGATTACTCGTCAAGTTTTGTTGTTAGTTAAAGAAAATGCGTTTAAAATATTTCCGCTAACAGCTAATGTTGCTCGTGGTAACATAATGCCTGAAGGCAGTGTAGGTGCTCGCGTTACTATGGTAACCCGGGGCGTCAGTGCGGTAAATGAAGCTGAGTGTGCCGGGATGTCAGGGACAACAGTTGGACCGTATACACTGTTGTACTGTAGCTGAACACAACGAAACCAGAAAAAAGGCTTGAAACATGGACAATTGTGATTTGGAGAAGCTCTCTGTTTCTCGTGGGAAGCTCCATCCAGCCTTCACTCCAGAAGTTACAGACTACAAAGTGACAGTGGAGAGCAGTGTCAATAAAGTGACTGTGAACCTGCTCACTAGTGACTCTGGGGCTTCATACAGTATTGTGAGTACTGTGCAGTAAATTATGTGACATTTGCCTCTGATTTGTCAGCTAATACGTTAATTTAACCTCGTTTTTTAAAAATGATTTCAGCTCTTTGGTGACGGTTCCAGCAGCATTAAACTGAATGATGGGTTGAACAGAGTAGAAATCGAGGTGGTAGCTGAGGATGGCACCTTAAAGAAATACTGCGTGGAAATCACCAAACTGTCTGCAAAGATTGCAGAGCTTAGTAATCTTACTGTGGACGGAGATATTCCACTTCATCCCGCATTTTGTAGGAAAATCTACGAATACAATAGTGAGTCCAGGCTTAATTTACTATCCCCTGAACTGCCACACTGGGTTAAGCAGGTTATATTAGAGTTATACTGCCTTGTTTTGCCATTGTTCATTTTAATGTAGTAAATACACTAATACATTAAAAGTTAATACATGTGTAACTATATCCCATGATCGTAATTCTTCTATCAAAAGATGCAGAAAAAATTTTAAAATTTTTTTTCACATTTCTGAGCATTAGAAATATTACATAATATTTATTTTTCTTGATGTTGCTGATTTCTGTTGCCCTCATTGTAAACTTTTGTCACCAGGTATTGTTCCCTTTCACTGTAATGCCGTGACACTGCTTCCCAAGGTGCCAGACAAAAACATAAAAGTTACCGTGAATGGGTCAGACAGCTCACAACCAGTCCATCTGAATTTTGGAGACACTGTGGTGGAGATCTCAGTCTGTTCAGCAGATGGCAGTAATTCACAGGTGGGATGAGACATAAGTAGACGACTGCTCATTATCATATAGGCGTTACTGTTATGATGCACGGCTTTATGTGTGTTTGATTACCACAATGAAGTGACTAAATTATATTTCAAAATACCTTCATAGCTTTGCAGCTCACCTCATCTTTGCCTACCTACTTACCTTGTGACCTACACTAATCTTACATTTAAAAGTTTCACACACTTGTTCCACATTCATGAATAATAGTATATAGGTCAATACAAATTGAATACAGATGGTTTGGATTGTTTTAGATTCTGAAAGGCTGTGCTGTTCTGCTACAGTGGTCCATTTTTTAAATTAAATCTGACTCTAACTGTCAGGTGTATACAGTGTTGGTGACTCGAGAGCTAATTCCCATGGCCGTGACCTTCACTGATGGGAAACAGCAGCTGGACTATGAATGTCCAGTGTCCCTGACTGCTTTTTATAGGCCTGTATCTATCAACCACAGGTGAGACTTGAACAGGAAGATTTATGAGAAAATGTTATCAGTACTAGTAAGAGCAGACACCCCCTTTATCATTTTCACTTTAACAGCATTTCTTCTGTGCTAAGTGCTTTACAGTTGATGCAAGTGTAAAACAAAAAATCAAAAGTAAAATACATTAAACCAACAATCATCACAGTTTCTCAGTTTACCAATAGAAATTGCCACTAACTCCCTAATTTAGCTATTTTGTTTAACTTTGGTTAATTATAGTCATTGGATATTAAAAAAAAATGTTATATGATGTTTTTGATTTGCAGTGACCCAAAACACATCTTCTCAAGGCCTTATATTGAGATGCTGACACGACGTTCAAAAGTTGACCCACTTGGCGATTGTCCTCTGGGAGACGGCTGGAAAGTTGTTGAACTGGACCTTGACAGGGAGATGTCAGATGCTCTGGTCAAGTGCTTCTTTATTTACCGAGGTAAAGCCTGTAATCTGTTTGTCTAAAGCAAACCTGCTGTTTAGGCAAAGCTCTTACTGGTTGAGTTAAAGGTCAATGGGTAGAGTAATAGACCCACTGTTATTTCTGCCTAAAGCTGAGTAAAAAAGCAAGTGAGGAGGAAGGTAAATAGTTTGCTAACATTGCAAGGACATGAATTTCACAATTATTGATGAATAAGAAAAAGTTATTTGCTGCATTCAGGTAACTGATTCATATGCTCAACCATTTTTTAAGATCAGTTGAATTATTTCTTCCTCTGAAACAGCTCTACCTCTAAGAAATGCTTGTATAACGTACATTGTTGTACATTGTTAAAATGCTAACTACACTTTGACTTAACTCCCAACAGTTCTGATTACACCACCACTATACTATCATGTAACATGATGATACTGTAGACAACTATTATGTTCCTGTAATGAGGGGGATACTATTACTTAACTAAGACCTTGTGTATCCAGCTGGATATTAGATCAGGCCTTTATATCCAGCAGGCTTTTCTCTGGTTAGTCAGATGTGTATTTCTAGACAACCTAGACTTATTTCAGATATATTTTATTTTCCAGAAATTGCAGACGTTACATCTAGATAATTAGATAGAGTTGCACCAGAACAAAATGCAATAGACTTTTTTACTACAGTAGTAGTTAAATACAGTTATTTGAACATAGTTTGCTCAATTCATCCTGTAAAAAAGATGCAAACTTGTTGTTAGCACTACAGTAGCATCGACCCCTAATGTGTGATTTACTGTGTCTGTGATGTTTTTTTAACATAGGATGTGACAGTGTGATGAAGCTGTCTGAGCTGGGGTCACACTCTCTGGACTGTCCACACAGGCCCACAGGGGACCTGGATGCAAAGGTCAGTATATAAGATTAAACAGCGCTCTGCTTTGCCAAAATCACTGCCCGACCTCCACTCTGCTCATCCTTTATTTACAAGTCAGCGCTCCCTTTATGGTGACTAAGTGCCGGTTTAACTTCCAGAGTAAAAGTATCTTGTGTTTGTGTGTGTGTGTTTGTGGTAACACAGTTGAGAGTGGATAAAACAATAAATTGTGTGCAGTGAATGTGTGCAGGTATTTATAGAGAGGGTGCAGAGGTGTGTTAGGGTTGTTGCATTTAATAAATTGTTATCTTACCTTGACCAAGAATCAAGAGGAAGATGAACCCAGCAAACTCCAGAGTGTGTAAATGCACCTCACATATGTTCATGTTCATTTACAGGATGTCACAGAGACAAGCTGGTATAAGAGACACTTTGCATCATCCAGTTGTTTGGAGATAGAGACTAAACACATATTGGAGGTAATAAATCATTCCTGTTATTTAACATCAAGGCTGTAAAGCTGAGTACACACTTTTCTTGAACATACCAAACTATATAGCATAGACTGGGATTAAGAGGATTTATTTAAATACATTCTTGCCTGCTACTGTAGGATTGTAAATCATAATATAGTTCATGTAGTCATCACCCCTACCTGTATAATCTCATATCTGATTCAGCTTTACTGCTTGGCCCGTTGTGCTTCATGGGTGGATAATTGTTTTCTTTCTCTGCTACAGGTGCGTAACTGGGAGAAAAGACTACAAATGACATCAGGAGAAGACCATGTGGATAAACTGTGCGCATTGGCGCAGGATCACCTGAAACTCTACCGGCAACACCTGCCAAAACCAGGCATGTAATACTTTCCAAACCAAGAGTGTAGGATCAGAAGTTAAATGGAAGTCATTTATCAAAATTTGTTGGAAGTCAATACCAACTTACAACCCCCTGACTTTAATAACCTTCTCACCCTCTACATTTTTACGCATATAAATCGCCACGAACATTACTATAATAATAAAAAACGCTGTTTCATTAACTCTTTTTCTTGGGAGGAATTTTTTTTTGAGCCAAAAAAAAGTGTACAGGCCAGAAAGAGTGTCAAAAACTATATTCATCACAAT